CAGCCACGCAGCCACAGCAGTTGAACTAAAACCAGGAAGAATTTCAGCTGAGCAGGGGTGGAAGTTTCATTGCTACACTGAGAGGACAATCTATTCTTCACCACTAACAACTGTCTTTTTCAAGGCAGAAGTTAACACGTAAAGGAAAGCTTATGCTTCTCCATTTCTGCACACAGCTTTCCATCTCCCTTTATTATAACCGCAATACTTTTTATGTCAGGAAGTATGAAAAATTTTAACGCCATTAATAGCCTAATTTTAATTTCTTATGTTCCTCCTCTGGAAAAAACATTATTCCTTCTTCATTACAACCTCTAAAACAAACTATCAAACCTGCAAAACCCAAAGTTCTCAGACCTTTCATACGACCTTCTGAACTTAGTCCAAGCTAGTATGTGGCTCAGCAGCCTAACCGTTGTTATGGATATAGCATTCAAAGTCTGTTAAATAAAGGAGACCCCAGGTTACAAAGTTAAACATGATTACGTGCCTTTACTCCATGATATTTCAAAGTCTGTTAAATAAAGGAGACCCCAAGTTACAAAGTTAAACATGATTATGTGCCTTTACTCCATGATAAAATCAGAGCTTTACTCTCAAAAAAAGGAGTGGGATCAAGGAGAAAAAAAAAAAAAAATTGTATTTCTAGTTCTCTTGCACATTTACTATGTGGCCCTAGGTGGATGACTGAAGTTCAATACTATTTTCCCCATCTGAACAAAGCAGTATTAACATTTTCCCTTTTCTCACATAGGCAATATGTTGCCTATCTGATTTGCAAGAGAAAGGGTTAGGAGATGCTCATATCAGAGATTTGTAGACATGCAGAGTATTAACAGGCAAACATCATCCTGTGCACTAGGAAGTCCAGAGGTTATATATTCCCTTCATTTTTCTTGTAATTAATATAAGTTACTGGAGTTTGGTCTATAAAATGGTCATTCACACTAAAGGAATGCTTGATTAAATCACGCGGAGTCAGAGTTATTATTGGTATAATTCCATTAGCTTTACAGAAAAATACTAGGGATGAATTTGTCCTCTTAGGCTTATTTTCCATTCCAAAATTCCTTAATGGCATAAAGAAAAAATAGAAAAGCTGGCCACAGATGTTAAATAAAGACATTCCGAGTCCAATCCCATTTCCACAGGATACAATGGGAGTTAGTTAGTAGGAGATCAGGACCCACAACACGCAACTACAAAAGCATTTGCTGATCTTAAGGTTTAGCTCCAATTCAGAATTTTCCTCTGCCAACTCTTCTTAATTTGGGAGATTTTTTTTTTTTTCTGTTTTTTTTCCAGTTTTTCCATTGAACACAAGTCTGGCAAAAGACCTCTTTGTCAACAGCCCTTTTCACTATCTATAAAACTTCTGTGATCATGTTTAGGCATTGAAAAACCACAATAGAAAAATTCCTGTAATCTGTTAAAGCGTTGCACATGCTTACACATGAAGCGGAATCCAAAACAAAAGGCTTTTTCAAAATGGAGATCTCAGCATACCACCAGATGGTACAGCGGTATCAGAACGTGAAACCCAATACAAATTTTTTCTATAGGTCATAAGTCTGGGCTATGCCAAAACCTCAGGTTTGATACTAAAAAATACACTTGTTAATTATTACTCTTTCACCAAAATGCCATAGTCTGAGCAAAATACCGTTTCAGTAGTCATAACAGTACATTTAAATCTACCCACAAAGATCACAATTTGTTGGCATATCATAACGCAGCATTAGACGCAGCATTTTGGTAAGAATGTAGTCCAGTAGAATATAGGAGGATTTTTAAATAACTCAAATTATTTACAATTCAGATGTACCTTGTGTGATGTCAAGGACTCTTCCAAGACAGATTCTTGTATGGTTTTGGTGAATACACTCTCCTTGACAACAACTCTTTATGGTGCTTAGAAAGCACTTGAGCTGTTTCACTAATCAGTACTAATTAAGCAGTACTGCAAAGTGAATGACTGGGGCACTGTTCAGCATACACTGTGCAACATAAATTAGGAAAACAATGAAGTTAAAAGCCAAATCCACACCAACTTTACATTGTAATTACCTATCAATAAAGAGTGTATCTGGATCAGGACAGCTTTATACAAAGAGAAGCTCCTTGGAGTTGAGGTCCAACTATATGTTGCACTCCTTGGAGAGTCCTGTTTGCCTCATGGACCACAGCACCTCACAAAAACATCAACAAAATTTGTCTGTGGGGCAGCCACATATAAAGCTCTGTTTTGAAGAAAAATTATCAGTTGAGCAAATAACCGGACAACTTGGGGGGAAAAAAAGAAAAAAATAATAATCTCATGCTCATCAATTTAATTGAGCAGTCTTCCGAAAGAACACCACTAGGTAAATGTGACACTGTGAAATACAAGCCAAGAAATATTTTTTATTAGATTTTTGAGAAAAGTTACGTTTCTATAGATTCAAAAAAGATGTTGAAGAACTGGTCACAACAATATTTCTTGCATTTTCTTTTCAAGTGCTTAGGCTTAGTCATCATCAGATGTAAGATATCAGATTACCAGCAGTCTCAACTGCTACATCCATAAAATTCAAGACACTGGACAGAGGTGTGTCCTTCTAACTCTACGAAAGACGTAGAGAAATAGTTTTCAGAAATTAAGACAAAATTAAGTTTAAAATTATACATTCTCCACTTTCAAACAGCTTTATGACCTCACAAGTTATCCATCATGCTAAAAAGTAAGGCCCCCTCTGGCTGTGCAGGGAAGTTGGACTTCCATATAGAGACATGTAACAGGATACACCAATATATGTTTGCCAGCAGTTCTTTGTTGTACAGGTCAGCTCTCTGCAGGTTTAAGTTTCAGTTACTCTACTGAATGAAATCGAGCATTTGCCAAGGAAAGGGATCTCCTGTGGAAAGAGAGGGAATGGGGGAAGAGGCAAGGAAGCAAGAAGTCAGAGGGAAAAAAATGTGAATCAAGCAGTGGATTTGTTGCTAGTGAGGTATGTACAGAGCAAGAAGGTGGTGGTACAGCAAAGCATGATTAAAAGAATTGGTCTGCAACAGAAACAAAGACCCTGGAGAGCCAGTGGAAGCAAGAGGGTCAGGGGGATGGGAGAAAAGGAGTGAAAAGGAGAAAATGCGCAGAAGAAAAACCGCATGAGGAAAAGAAAACATATGGGATGAGAAAGAAAAAAAAGTAGCTATTGAAACAAAGGGTTTGAAATGGCCTGTGATGAAAGCTAAGCTTTGGAACTACCAGTTATATAAAAGCTGGAACTTCTTTCTACTGAGGATGCACAAGAACAAAGGACCATCCACACAAACCTGCAAACTAAGAGCGCACCATTCAAGATCATCGTCTTGCTCTCGTGGTTGGTGTAGATACCCAAGCCCTCTGAAAAAGAGAACTATCCATTCCTATAGTGAATCACTTTGGTGAGCAGAAAGGGAAGATGTATAAAGTGTGATGATGGAGAGAAAATAAAAACAAAACACTGCCAACCCATCATGTTGATTTTCTGCCCCATCCAAGGAGAAAGAGCTCCAAGGAGAACTACCAGCTTGATTTTCCAAAAGGATATAGAAGAGTTCTAGGCTCTACACTTGGCCAAAATCTTTCCCTTCTTGCTTACTTCTGTGGCCAGATGCTTTTTAAGTCCCATATATGTGTGTTCCATAAATTAACAAAAAGTTAAAGAGGGGGAAAAAAAAAAGTGACACCAAAGGTGGAAACATAAGGTACACAAACAGACCCTTTTGTGGATAGGACACTCTGATACCACAATGATGGACTCTTTATACGAAAAAAAACAGAGAACCTATACAAGCTTATAGATAATAAACCAGCAAAATTTGCAAAGACAAGTTTTTCTCTAATTTTCCAAGCATTCGGTTTAAGGTATTTATAACAACAGCAAACACGTATCTTGTAGGCAGAAGTATCTATGACTGGGGGGAAATAGAAGGGGAGTCTGTTTTCATTTGATGACATCCCTTGCAAAAATTGAACTCTTAAGAATTGACTTCTGGATTATCACATTCTGAGACATTCCATGGAAACTTGAACCAGAAAGGTAATTTTCAAGGGCTTTTTCCCACTCTTCAGTATTTTTTTTTCTTTTAAAAAGAAGGTTTTACTGCATAGTACAGCACACAGCACCAGCCTGGGGCATCCTGTTCCTATTTCCTCAAGCCACCAGAAGATATCTGACAAGGAAAGAGGAAGAAAGCCAGAGAAAAGGGATAGGAAGGGAATAGAAAACAGATGCTGAATGAGAGGAACGCACGATGTACAGCAGAAAGAAAAAAAGGTAGAATGAGGGGAAGAAATAAGAACCCAAACCAGAAAACACACCGTGTAAAGCTTCTGGATCATTTCAGTGCAAGTTTCTGAATGTAAACGGGATAACAAGACTGGAGGAAAAGTGCAACTGTGTTATGTATGTTCATAAGCATATTCCTATAGAAGGGCATTGAAAAAAAAACTTAGCAGCTTCGTTACTAGTATACGTGTTCTCTACCAGGAGAGAGGGTTACTGAAGCCACTTCAGCTCCTATTAGAGTTATTAAGAGGAGTATTTGATCCCCTAAACTACTCTTTGGTGCATACAGTGCGCTTACAGCCCACTTCAGTTTATCCTGAAGGCTTTTAGAAGGTATTTGTCTGCACGGAGACAGGGAGGGAGTTCAGAAACCCTGACTCGCTACAGGCAAGTTACCGTGCTGGAGAGACCCGTGTGGCAAGCACGGCTAAGAAGTGACAGAAATACTCGTGCCCCAGTCCCCTGAAGCGCAGGAAACCCA